CGGTAGGCAACTGTAAGCTCAACTGACATTGTAAGCTGGTATTTAATTAAAATTTAATCCACACTTCAGAACTCTTTTAGGTAGTCAGCAGGCCTACATTATATGCGTTTAAATTAATTATATATAATGGTAGTCAAAATTATTTAGTTCACATTTATTCAAACAAGAATAAAATGTGTATATGTAAATTTTACAGCCGCATTAAAATCTAGAGAAGTTTACAGGTACGGGCCCATATGGTGATCAAAATCATTTCGACTACAATAGTAATATAAATAATATTTACTAACCATTTGTGAGCTTGAAAATGTTATGCGGGATGTTCCGTAGTTTCCGCCCTAAATATATACTTTATAGTTCTTTTCAAAGATGCATGCAATAAGTATACATATTGGGGATCTCATTTAGCATTTATGCAAGGAAAAAACAAAAACGATATAAAAATCTTGCATTTCACTATTCAGAAGGGCGGACAAAACCTGTTTGATTGCCAACTGAAGGCGTTTTAAAAAATCGTCTTTGAAATCATCTCTGTTTCCATCAAAAAATTTTAATGTCTATTAAAAATAAAATTTAAAATTTCGAATTCTGCTAATAAACTGTTTTAAAAAATATCTGTAAATACAAAATTTTTCTGGAGATTTATTATTCAAAACAATAGAATGTTTATTCTAATATTATAATTTGAATTTTCAAATTCAGCCTTTTTAAACCCAAATATTATAGCCTTCGATTAATGAGAAAAGACATATAACCTTTATAGCCAATAATACTCTTCGTCTGCTGAATGGTTTAAATTTGGCGACGTATTCAAGGAAAAAAATTTAGTTTTTGACAACTTTTGATTTAACAATTACTTTGCAACTGGCAGAATAACTTTTATATTTGGTTCATGATTTGGATCCTAAAAACGGCCTGTAAAAACAATTTCACACCGATTGGCGAGTGTCCGGGTACATTTTTTATAATTATGTAATCAATATATTAATTAACGAACTCATGTTTTTCTTAAATTAATATTCAGAGTGACCAACGCAATTCCCTTTAAATTTGAGGAATTTTTAAACTAGTTGTTGAAAGGAAATTCCTGTTTAGTACACAACTGACTTTTTTACTTCTTGTTACAAAAGTTTTAGTGCAGCTTGGTGGAAAATCTCATTCAAAAAATAAAAATTCATGCTTGAAAAAAATAAAAGAAATGCATTAAATATTACTAGTTTAATTTTTTATGCGATAAAAACTATTTACTTATGTATATATATTTTTTAAAATAGAATTGAAAAAGAAAACATTTACTAAAAAGGTGGATTTCTAACTTAATTAACGATGAGATATTTAAGGGCGGCATATTAAAAACCTGTTCTCTAGGAACTTTTGCCTCTTATTGAGTATGCAATATCCTGATATTATTTGTATCTTTTTATGTAGTAACAAATAAATATATTTTCTTCCCTTCATTTATTCAAAATAAATAAATAAATAAAAATAAAAAAATATTAAAATACATTAAAATAGTAACAAGGATTTCCCTATTAATTTTAGTTTAAAAGTAAAATTTTTTTTTAGATATTTTTGGCAATCATAAGAGAAATTTAATATGACAAAAAATATTCGGAGGAAAAATCAACTTTCAAATTTAAACACACTAACAACTGGGGGACATGAATAGTGCAATTCACTTAAGGATGATACATCTGAAAATTCTTATTTTCACAATTAATTACCAGTAGATAAGAAATGAACATTCGGTATATTGCAGTAAACAGCAAATAATTAAGAAAAGCTGGTTTAAATAATGCCGACCGGTTATATGTTCAGTTTTAAAAAAAAACGTACTGTCAAGCAATTCTGTGAAAAACGCTTTTGAAAATTTAAGCGCAATTTACAGTCCCTGAACAAATTATTAAACGCAACGTAAGATTCTATGTAAAATCTTAGTTATCAGGTGACAGCTTTATTGTTTTTACGCTGCTGAAACCAGTTTACACTTGTTGATGTTCGTGTATTAATTGGTTAACATTGTAATGCAATAGGTTAAAAATAAATACAAATAGGAAGTATATAAAACAAACTATAAAAACCCATTACATTTATGATTAACGATAAGAGTATAGCATATAAACTCGTACAAAACATGCAATTATTAAAACACTACAGTGCATCTAATATTTTTGGTCTAATTATTATAATATGCCAATATAATACCTGATATAATACATATTCTATATTTATATCGTCTAACTTATTCAATTGTCGAATTTGTATCGTCTAATTTTACCACTTTATACACGAAGGTAAACAAGTACAAACCGGTTTCAGTCGAGTAAAAACAATAAAGCTGTATGGTATCAAGTGATAATTAAGATTTAACATCTTATAGTGTGTCTAATAATTCAGCCAAGGACCGTCCTATACAAATAAATTTTTCCCATTTATGCACAGTCAAAGAAAATGTGCGACCCCAGATGCTCGAAGTTTGATCAACGCTATGTATTATTTTATTTCCATCATTTTTCAACCACTTCTTTATTCTTTTAAATAAAGTTTTCGTATTCTTCTTAGATATATTATTAGTTTAAATAAAAATAATTTATTTTATTTATTATCTTTCTATGTCTTACTTGGTATTTAAATTACAGTCACGTTTTTTTTTAATTTCACCAAGAATCAACTTTTAAATCTGGTTAAAAAGTTTAAAATACAGTTAATGAATACAATCAAGGCAATATATAAATAGTATTTTTCATAATTTTCCGGGCATTAACAGCGCTATTATGTATTTAATATATGTTTTTGATTGCAATCATCAACAGTATTTTGAACTTTTTCACCAGATTTAAAAATTGATTCTTAGCGGCATTAAAAAAGCGTGACTGTAATTTAAATATCAAGTCAAAATCTTTCAAAGTAATATAAAATCCTTCAAAATATTCGTAAAAAAATGGATAAAAATAATTTATTTTATTTACTATCTTTCTTTGTGTTAGATCTTACTTGATATTTAAATTACAGTCACGTTTTTTCTTATGTCACCAAGAATCAACCTTTAAATCTGGGGAAAAGTTCAAAATATAGTTAATGAATACAATCAAAAACATATATTAAACGTACAATAGCATTGCCAATGCCTGAAAAATTATAAAAAATACTACCCATGTACTGTCTTTCTACAAAACCATTTTAAGTCTTAGGAACATTTTCTTTCACTTTCTAACTTTTGGAATTATATGCAGATCCTAAAATGGGCGAAACCTTTTAGAAAATTACCTATTTCTAAAGTAAAAGCTATTCCTCCAAAATTTACTCTCCATATGCAATTTTGAGATGTTTATTTTTGTAGACAAATAAGAAATTTAATGAAAATTTAACAAAATGTTGCATATTTATGTGGAAAAAAAACAAGAAATATGTTCTCAAAAAGACTGTATTAAAATAAGAATCATTAGTCCAGCAACAAGTGTTATCGCGAATTAATTACATAAAATAAGCTTCTTAACTTTTATAAGACAAATCTTCCTGAATGTACATTGTAATGATTCGTGGTATTTTTTTTTTTTTAATTTTTTTTTTTTTTTTTTTTAGCATGTGGTGTGTTTTTCACGACATTAACTTAAAAACGTTGTTCATATAAACAATCATATTTTATTTGTTAGCAAGATAGTAAAAATATTTTTACTTTCAAAACTTTTATCATATATCACCATCAAAATTTTTTTGGTTTGAATTACAAAACATATTAATAGAATATATCTTTTTAAAAATCTAACCTTTTTTTTATTTAAAGCTCTTTTTCTACATATTATAATTTTAAACCACTATTAATCTTTTGAAAGATTAAATTATTGAAAATATATAATACTTAATAACTGAAGATACATTAATTTAAACATCAAGTAATATTTAATAAATAGAGAAATGCAAAAATTAAAGTTATTTTTTTCTAAATAAGAAATATTTGCAAGCAATTGATTTATTAAAGAAAATCTTTAATAAAAGAAATGGAAAAAATACTTGAAACTCCTTTTGTCTAAGCGTAAAACAAATGAGCAACCATTTGGGTTTTTGCATCAGTGAAAGAAAACCTTGACGAGTATATAAATTGTGCTTAAATGAGTGCAATTGGTTGGTTAATGAGCTTTATTACCTTAACGTCGTGAACATCTTTAAAGTATACCACTCATACACAAAGTTTCGTTGCAAAATAAATTTCTTAAGTTGTGACGTTACCTTATAAAAGAAAAAAGCTTTAAACACCTGATAAATTTTGATTGGTGAAACTACCACTAATACAAAACAGTTTCACGATTACTTTAAGGAGAGTACCATATACCAATAAGCTGATACACCAAGTTTCGTTGTAAAATGACTTTCTTTAGTTGTGACATTATCTTTTAAGGGAAGAAAACATTTAAACACCAGACAAATTTTGATTAATAAAACTAACACTCAGTTTCACTGTTATTTTAAGAAGAGTGTTGAATCCGATAATGTATATATGTTCTCCAAACTCTCAAGTCTCCAATCAAAATGGCAAGAGTTAGTTATTAAAAATAATATGAAGCATAAATTTCAAATAAAAAAACAAAGATTATTTGTTTCGTTTCATTATTTAATAACGCTTTAGCAAAAAATTACCTTTACAGCCACAAAAAAAGTTTTATTTCATAACTGGGACATTTTCAGAACAAAAATTATTATAGGTACGTACGCACTTGATGGGGAGTTAACACGTTATAAACAACACTTGTCAATGAAAAAACTTCAAAAATCATGATGGAAAAAAGCCGTAAAAGTGTTCACGAGTTGGTGGGTCTTGATGACTTGCGCCTACTTTGAGCGCTCGAAACATGTTGACTTTTTTTACCTTAATTTTTGAAGCTAATGAAGTTTTTCCATTGACAAACATATGTTTCCGCTTCAGTTTCTTTGGATAACTCATTACGTCCAAGCGATGTTTTATGTCTCTAGATGTTAAAAAATATTAATAAAAAGAATCTTACTTCATCACCCATTTGGTTGTAAATTTTTTTCGCCTGTGGAAGTTTAATAGCTTGGCCTAAATCTTCAACAATTTCTTCAAATGATTGAGTAGTTCGTAAATTAAGTAAAATTCTACTAAAAACTGTAGGATTTTGACTATTGACAATAGTAATCGTTTTCCCTTCATTTTGAATGGGAAGAGATCGACTTCGTAAGTTTTTGGGAGTTCTAACACGAAACACTTTGTTTGGCGAGATTGGTCTGTAGAGTTTAAGATCCTCCTTTCGAATTGGCAATGGTAAGTGAGCTCGAGAAACCATTGCTGCTCTCATTCTATTAGATTGCCCATAAGCAAGTTCTTGGAAGTTTTTTGTACCGGATACTACATAGGAATATCCATCTAATAAGTCATTTAAATCATTTACCCTTCTTCCAGTCAAAGAAAATATAAATCTCACTCCATGAGGAATATTCATTCGTTGCGTCAAATAATCGCACAAGCTATCTAAAGAAACGAAATCTTTACCAGGCATTATAGATACTTTAGTACCGCTGAAAAATGGATCCCCATTCTTATAAAATGTAACCATTCGAGCCTTTGGTGGTACGATTGGTTTCGGCATCATCATGGGGCGAGTTGTTTCCCACCTATGATGCACTCGACCCCCCACAGCAGCCATCTTTGGATTTAAACGTTTAGTTGGTTTTTGTCGGCAAACAACACTGATGGTGTTACCACTCTTGCTAACTCTCCAACGACAACGAAAGTTTCCCTCGATGGTGCCTAACTTGAGTTCTCGTGCCAACATGATCAGATGTAAACTGATCAGTTTGACACATGATTCGCAGCTGCTGTTTTGTTACTCACTGTTCAATACTAGTGACGAGTCGAAAGGGTCAATGATTCCTTAACCGGAAGATGAAGCAAAAATAGTACACGATCAAAGTGTTATCATTAATTTCCACTCAAGGGAGAAAGTGCTGCGCTACTACAGAAACTTCCTCACAGAAAGCGATCCTAGTTCGAACATGTGAGGCAATTTTATTGGTTGCAGTTAATATATTGTTCAAGAGTGTTGTTTGAAACGTTGACATGGAAACCATCAGAGCAATCGAATCGATTTTGATCATCAGGGAATATTTACGGATGCTATAGTGTGAATTTCGATTCGTTAGCGAGCGATCTGGCTGTTAGAATGAAAGATGAAATGAATCCCTATCTTACATTGAGGCCACATCCTCACTGGGCGTGGTTCGTTCGTTCATTTAGATCTCATTTTTCCCCTTTAAATTTTTATTTAAAACTTTTTCTACGTCTCATTTAGAAGTTCGTTAAATACCTTAGATTGGAATAGCTTAGAATAAAGAAAATGACTCGTGAAAAAGAATGTACGATGATTCGGAAATACATTAATACTTTTAAACCTACACTGGTTTAAAACAAGGAAAAACAATTAGTAAATAATATTCTGCAAAATAAATAACCTTAGATTGAAATAGCTTAGAATAAAGAAAATGACTCATAAAAAAGAATGTACAATGATTTGGAAATATACTAATACTTTTAAACCTACGTTGGTTTGAAACAAAGAAAAAACAATAATTAAATAATATTCTGCAAAATAAGTAACCTTAGAATGGAATAGCTTAGAATAAGGAAAATGACTTGTAAAAAAGAACGTACAATGGTTTGGAAATATACTAATACTTTTAAACCTACGCTGGATTAAAGCAAAAAGAAGCAATTATTAAATAATATTCTGTAAAATAAGTTTCTAAAAACTGTGGATAAAAATGTAAAAAGAAAAAACGAAAAAAAAGCAGAAGTACATTTTAAAATGGGGGAATGAACACGGGAACTTTAAAGAATGAACAAAGAATTTTGGGAATTTTTCAAGAATTTATTGAGAATTTGTTATGTAGATGATTGGAATGCTTGTCACATAAAATGCTTATAAACTATATCAAACATTTTCCTTAAAAAATACACTAGTCATTTCGAATTTTGAGTTTAATCATCATGTATGAATGGAGTCATTGCTTTGATTCCATCATTATAAATTTATCCCCATATTGATATGCAAGTAAGAGTTTGCTTTTATTTATCAAAATTATAGAAAGTTTTAAGAAAACATAAATGATAAAATGTTTAAATCAAATTACTTGTTTTAATGTAAAATAAGCATAAGTAATTAAGAGTTTTAAAAATGATTGTCAAAAGAATAATATTTTTAATAATTAAATTAGAAGCAAAATTTTTTTACAAATGAATATAATAAAACTGAGAAAGCAGACGGTCATTTTTACTTGAATAACATTTCTAACAATAAAATAATAACTTGTAAACTAAGTGATTCTCTAATTGAAAATACAGTGAATTCGCGATAACTCGAATCTGATAGGACTCACGAAAAACTTCGACCTATCGGAAGTTCGACTTAACGTTAGTTTCGGTTTTGGACTTTCAAAATATTGTCGGATTATTTAATTAATGCTTATTAATTACAAATCTTCTAAATGCTTACAATATTTAAGATCATTTTTCTGACAAGCCATTTACGATAAGACTGTTTGAAGCACTTTATGATACCCTGGTCCATCGGCTGCAACTTTGCTGTTGTGTTTGGCGGGAGAAACTGCAAGTTTACTGCTTTCAAATTAGGTAGATCAC